TTTTTTTTTTCTTTGGCAAAGCTTGGCCTTATAAATAAATTCCGTCCGTGGCGTCTCTCGCCGACACAAAGGAGCGGCGAATTGGCTTTCCGGGGCGAAAGCATGAGCCGGCGAGTAATTTCCCTTGGAAGGAGGCAAATTTCGAGAGTGAGAAATCGTTCGAACAACCACTGCACTTCATCCTTCGCGATAATCGAATGTCACCATCGTTCGCGAAAGAAACGCGACTTTTCCTCCAAGCTGGTGAATATTTTACAGCGAAAGATCTATTGTCCAATCTTGGAACTTGATCTTAACGCGGCAATTTCTCTCAATTAATTCGCACTCTGTAAATTTAGTTTTGAAAGAAAGAAAGAAAGAAAAAAAAAGGAAACGTGGCTATGAAAGAACATTCCAGAGGTGTACTTGAATAATTAATTAATGAAGCAGTTAGGAAATTTTTGTGACAACTTCAGAAACTACAAAAGTACTATAAAATATTAAAGTGGATGTAAAAGAATAGAAGATGTATATAGAATAGAAGGTGTGAAGGAATATAAAATAGAATGTGTGTAACAAAAGATATACACCTTGGAAAATATTTGTTATATCATTATAAAAATATATTTGCTATATCTTACAGGAAAGGCGCATAAAACAGAAGATATAATAAAATTGATAATAAAGATCCATAGAGTAGAAGAAAAAGACAGAAAGAAAAGTGTACGATATGATATCGGAGCTTTGAATTTGATTCAACTTTATTGCTAATCTCTGCCACGAAGAAGATATATAGGTCAGGTACAACCTGACTACGTAATCCGAAGATCTATAAATTTCCTAGAGAAAGGAGACTGCGAGACTTTAATCAACCAGGTTCATTTTTGATCGTCGAAAATTACGTAAATTACACGATGACCCCGAGAATTAAACGAGCAGATCTCACGAACGATTCTTGTCGCGAGTCTTGTCGGTTGTTCCTCCCTGTGACAAACCGAGAAACGATATTCCGAGAGACATATATATGTACGCTCTCGCGATCGCCAGTTGAAGTTTTAATCGGGAACGCGACCGATTTCCCGCCGCTTTTCGAAAATAGGTTTCTCAGAATAGCACGAAGTCCACGAAAATTGATAAGTGGAACGTACGCCGGCGCATTCCCCGCGCGACTTTGACGTTCAGTCCGACGTCTAACAAGTTTCACGAGTTTCACGTGAAATTTTGGAACTTTGGAGTTAATTTCAAGCATTTCTTAGCTTCTTCTGCTGGTGATTTTAAAATTTACCTCCGGCCCAGTTCCACGTTTCTCGTTTGGAAAATTTTGAAATTACGTTCAAATATTTTAAAGTATTAACGAAAAATTTATATGATTTTTCATTTATTTTACAATGCTTCTCTAGAAGTGAATATGAAAGAAGGAGAGAAGAACGCACTAGAAATCTAAATTAAACAATTCAACACGATAAGAAAGAGCAACTGAATTCTTTTTTTTTTTAAACTATTCCTTTCTGCCTAGCACTTTCGTTCATCTCGTCGTGATATTTGTCTAGAAAAATACAACATGTTGTCACGAAATGACTATAATTGGTAATTTCGAATCATAACTAATTGACGTTGATTGTCAAGAGACAAGAAGAATATTACATACTTTAAATACATTTTGATGTTTAATTTTCATTCCAGCTTGTTCTTTCTAGTTCGTTCAACATCGTAATTTTAATTCGAGAATTATTCTCTGAATATTTGAAATTGTGGCTCGCAAGCTTTTTAGAACTCACATGGCTCAGCAATTATTCACGAGTGCCCCCTAAGCTTGACGAAAAATGTTTTCGAAGTTCCCTTGCACACACCACGACACACGTTCCATTTGACATGCGAAAGCCATTCGACCTTCCGACTGAAAGAGTCTTCTCGGACGCTCATCTACTTTAAAAAACAAATTTCAATTTCAGAGTGTCTTAAAACACTGACGACAGACCTCTGTCCTTCTGAAGATGAGGCGTCGAAGTGTCTGTCTGTCAGATACCAAGTTGCCAAATAATTAATATCGCTTTCTACCGTGAATACAAAGTTTTACACTGTCTGAGACACACCTACGTTCTCTCCGTTCGCCCAAGAAATATATAGTATGACTTCGTTCAACGTTAGCTTGGCTTTAAACTTCCAGTACGCTAGATATTCGAGAACAGCAGCCGACCAGACTTCAATTTATCTAAATTCTAAACTCTGTCACGCCCAGGAGCTCGATCCTCCGATAATTTCTTTAAACAATCGCTCGAGAAACGTCCAAACATTGCCAAGTTTCACATACGGGCCATAATTAACTCAGACGCGTTCAGAGACACTAAAAATTCTAGCCCTGTCTCTCACTAACCTACTTGAGGGATGAACACGTGGTCCACAGGGGCAGCAACCGCTGCTAGAACGTTTCCTCCTACGTGCACACCAGTCCTGACCCATCCTCCTCCGTTGCCAGCCCTTTTCCTCTTCACCTCTTCCGCAACTCCGCGTCACGTTCCAACAGCCAAACAATCAACAATAATCTCTCAACGAAAATATCTCTTCTATTGGTAGACACCAGCTCGCTCATCCTCGAGCAATTTGGCTAAGTCACTTTGTGGTTGTTGAAACTAGGCCGTTAAACACTATTTCCCATCGAATTCCACCACAGTTCTCTTCTCAAGATCTGTATCGTACAATACTGTCGAACGACGTTTGCGTTGGTTGAAGCTTTGAACATTTTTGAACAACGAGGATTGGTTGTTTTGGTCTAGGCGTTGGTCTGATGAGAGTGGCAGGTTTCTTGGTCCTGATGAGTGCTGTTTCTCGCGGGTAAGGTGAAACACTGTGCGATGGATTGGTTAAAAATTTGGTTAAAGATGGTCTGTTATGTTGTTATTACTTAGTTGGTCACGTTGTTCGATTGGGCCCCTCCCTCCCCAGTTGGACTAGGTTTAATGGTAATTTTTTTTTTTGGTACACAACAATTTACTCTTTCTGAACATCTTTTGTTAATGCTTATCGTAGTAAAATCGAACTAGTCGAGTGTTAAATGACAGTTTCGTAGTATACCCTGTCTCTTTACGTTCAGGCAGAATTTTGTTTCGCTTTCTCTTCGAGATTCAAGATCCTCGAATTAATTCCAACGAATTCCATCCTCAGCTCAGGAGGAAGCAATTGCTCGCAAGCTTCTTACTCGTTCGCCTCTCCATCAAACGTTTCTTCGCCAATAACTAGCTCGAGCCTCGGTCGATTTTCATAAACTTCCAGTTTCTCCTCGAACAGTTGTCGTTCATTTCAACGACTCTCCCCTCCATTTTATATGTAGTAGCAATCGAAGCTCCTCACTCTCAGAAACTCTTAGAAATCACCTCCAGTATTAGAGTATTATTTCGAGCATTTACTTCAAAATTCTTTCATCTTCGGCCGATTTTAATTAGACAGAAATCGCAGACGATCTCTCGTTAATTTTCACAAAACGTTTGAATTCAATCTCACGCGAGCGAGTTCCTCACTTCACCTCGAATTCTCTCAGCTTCGACTCGCCAAACATTTCCACAACATTTTCCTTCTGAGGAATATTTTCCTCTGCTCGCCCACTCTCGTGTCTTTCTCGCGCATTGAAATTACAGCACGATTCGAATCGAGTCGAGTCAAGTGGCTAATTAGCCCGGTCTGTCAGCTTTGATTATCCTCCCTCCCCTCCCCCCGATGTTAATTTTGTCGCGGTTTCCGAACACCGCCCGGTCGAAGAAAAGAGAGCGGCGGAACGGAGGGGAGGAGACGCACGCTCGATCACACGAGCTTTCAGCAAAATTGTCGGGATCACGCGCGAGATCCTTCCAATTCAGCCAGTCCTTCTGCTGATCCTTTTCCAGCTGCGGTGGCTAATATGGTTCTCAAAGGGAAGCCTGTCCACTCGTTTCATCCTCGAACGCAGATTCTACGGGATTTGCCGTCACGATTAATTACCGAGGTCATCAATCAATTCGGAGACGAGGAGTTAGTCAGTTATCGAGAGGATTTACAGAGAGGTCTTAGCACATTCTCGGATGCTCGGGTCTTAGAAGCAGCTGGATGATCTTGGCTTTTCTTCTCTTAGAAAAATATTCAGCTCGAAATTCACTCGAGACTCGAGCGTCGACAGCAGTTAATTCGGCTCGATCACTTTTCTACAGCAATTAGGCGACTCGCTAGAAATTGAGGATTCGTCGAAGAACGAGTGTTTCCGTAATTTGGAGAATGAAATTTTGGCAATGCTCGAGTATTTGTCGAGTTATTCCTCTCCCGAGGATCCTCGGATCTCTGGGAATTACTCGAAATTAATTCCACATTAGACACGTTGGACCCACGCTCGTTAACCTAGCATTAGAACGTAAATCCTTACTTCCAAATTAACTACCAAATTCCTCTCGTTAAATGACAATTTGGCCTCGTCACAGATTCTAATTATCCTCGAGATGAATTCGTCAATTTGAACATTCAACTTCTCCGTTGAGTCACAGCCCGCGAATCACGCGCGAGGTTCACCCAAATTCGGAAACAAAAATTGAAACACTTTGAATTTGTGTCTCTGTTCAATCCCTCGCGCAGCTCACCATAGCAACCTATGGTCCTTACGTTCGCTGCGAAACCGAAATTTTCCTTATTTCAGCGATTCCTCGAGTCCAGCGCTCGATTCACTTGTCCACTGTCACTGCTCCCTTCCAACCCAGTTTGGTTTCTCGCGTGAAACACGCAGCGCAGATTCGATCACTGGCCCAAGGTCTCCTCCGTCGAGCAGCCACGTCGCTTCCGAACCTCGACACTTCCCGTCGAAACCGTCGTTATTCACAGCCGCACTATCACCGTGAACGAGGAGTCAACACACGTGGACACTTTTCCACCGCTTCTGGCCGTGGCGACGCGAGTGTCGAGGAGAAAGCGGCTCACGTGACGCAGCACGGTCCATCGGAAACCGAGCGACACACTGACGAAAACCCGGAAGGGGCGAGAGGTAGAAATTCGCGACGCTGGTGGAAACTGGCCGGATAGAACCATGCGAGAAATTGGATCGGGGAGGGCGGAAGCGGCCACGCAAGGGTGGAGAGACGCGGCCAGCAGCAACGTGCCCGCGAAAATGTAAACTTCCGAGGGGATGATGTGCTCGCGAGGAGAGAGGCTGCGGATATGCGTTTGTGTGTGTGTGAGTGTGTGTGTCTGTGTGTGAAAGAGAGAGGAGAGGCGACGGCAGCGCCTCCAAGCCGCCGAAAACCACTACGTAGTTGGCAGGGAGGGGGTGGAATCGGGAGAGATGGCTGGCAGAAGTGTTGGACGGTTCTCTGCCTCCTGGCGAGGGCGAGCTTTCGCTCGAAACGTTCACCGTTTTCAAATCACGAAGCTCCTGTTTCCACGAACATGTTCCGAAGGACCAACTGATTTCTCTGTTCGATCGTTCGAGCGTCGAGGAACTTTTAATTGTTGAATTTTCGGCACACAACGCTGTACGATCCATTTTCTTTTTCAATGTTCCAACGATTATCGCCAAACGAAGGAATTTGCTCAGCCTGATTGCATTCGCTGAATCGAGGAGTTTTTCAACGAACGAACGTCTGAGAACACTCGTGGAGGGGAATCTCTTTAGGGAATCGATTTGCGCGAAGAGGAGTAAGGTTTTGGAATATTTATTTGGAAATACAGGCAACTTTGCCGGCGAAACCTGGAAACTTTGTTTCCGGGCGAAGGGTAATTTTTCACGATTAAAAGTTTCGTTCTCGTGATTCCGTTGAATTCGTTTCATGCGTCAGATTTGGGATGCAATCTCCCTAATGGAAACTGAAAAGTCTGCTTAATTAGAGAGCCGTTTTTCCCTCCCCGAATAGTATTTAGAGCACGAAGATTTTCCTGAAAATTTCGAGTAAAACGGTTTCGTAATATAAAATTTACAATATCGAAATGAACAGAGATTTATTTATTCTCTGAGAGTCGAAAAGATTGAAAAGATGTTTATTAATACTCCGCGATAAATTTAACGCAATGTTGACAGATCTCTTCCTAGAATTTACTTCTCCTTCGTCAAAAAAGAGAGAAGAAAGATTTCTCTTCTCGAACACGCGATATTGAAACGCGCTGTTGTAAATTACAGTGTCGAAGGAAAAGAGCAAGATCATAGTACGCGCGGAGGGAATGAAAATACCCCGTTTCCTATTCATGACACGGATTTCCCTCGTTGAATTTACATCTTGCTGTAATTTCTTCGTTTCGCGTGGCTGACGATGCGAGCTGGTGCAACAGAGAGTTAACGTACAGCACAACAAGTGCGTAGACGAAAGTTAGGCGAGCACAATGCTCGAAAGGGTAAGTTTTCAATGGGCTTGCTCGTTTCACTTCGACTTTCCCCACGTGTTTCGCCCCTGTTTCGTGTGTGGCCTGCTTCAGGCGACGCGTTTAGCAAAATTCTATCGGGCACACGGCTCGAGCCAACCTCTTTGCCGTGCTGTAAATTTCTATCCATTACTATTCATTGTTTGGCAGAAGTGTACGTGGAGATGTTCCAATTTCATGGCGAGAGTCCCTTTGTTCTCTTCTATGCGATGCGTTTCTAATTGCACCGCTACGAAGCTCGAGCGAATTTTGTCAATAAATTAAATTCCTCACTCAGTTCTGGACAAACTATACAATTTTACAACCAATGAAATTCTCAGAAAATCGAACGATCAACCAAATGACTGAATATCGAAACATTCTCTTCAGAATCGAACAATCCGTGAACGATTCGCGCAACGTTCGCCGAAACGTTCGTCAAAGGTTTATTCAGTGCGATGCTCTGAAATACCGATCGTGCAAAATTGAAATTGAAGAGCGACGGATAATCTTAATAAATTTGGTGACAGTGATATAAATTTGGTAAACTGAGAAGTGAGATGAGAATTAATAGAACTGGGTTCCATTGAAGGGAATAGGTTAGGTGAACATTTTCCAGCGTACTCGGAGGAACCACGTGCTCAGCGACACACCCACGATGTTCAAAATCAATGGAAAGACGGGAGGGTGCAGCGGCAGTGCCGTGACCCTCTGTCTGAGCGGATGCTGTGGTCTTTCAACCAGAGGAATAATAGAATTTTTCAATAAAAATTCGATCGACGTGCTCACCCTCCCCGCGCAATTTTCCCAAGGTTCAATGAATAAATAAACTCGATAACGGGTATTTGTATAGTGGAAAATATATAAATATATAAATATATGGACGCGATGAAACGTGTGCTCTTACGTTCAAGCAATTTTTTAACAGCTAGCATTTATATCAGAGAATTCTTTAAATAAGACGAGTTTTCGAAAGGCGAGTATTTAAACAATCCAAGAATTTGAATGTTCAAACAAACCGATGCCCAGAAATTCGAATTCGAACGCCCGATAATCGAATATCTGAGAAAAAGAAAGAAAAGAAAGGAATGGAATACGTAAATAGTCGGACGTCTAAACTAATCGTCTCGTAAATTAAGGGATTTCTAAATAAACGAATACCGGGGATAGCAATCGAGCCCAAATAGAGGATAATTCAAATATTTGTCCGGCAGAGAAGAACAATCGATTACCAAACACTCGAATGCCTAAGTAATTGAATACCAGGAGTCAGCCCCTGCCTAATTGAATATCTAGAGAGCGTGATCACCGCCCGAGAGATCTAATCGCAAATATCTACGACAGAAGGTGATAATTAAAATGATGACCAACCGATGAAACAAACCTAACCCAAACCGTTCAACATCCAAATGCCTAACAATCATCTCAATCAAGGTTCAACCGAATGGCAACCTCTAATCTCCAAACTGACCTCACTCAGCGTACCATCTATCGATTACTGGGAAAACTCTCTAATCTTCCCCACACGGTTCCTAAAACCCACAGAACGATAAATCTTCCCCATCTTCCCCATCGTAGAGCTTGTTTGCAGACACGCGACCGGTGCACTGGCTCGCGAAAATACTCGGGACACGTTGTTCGTATTTTTACGTCATTAGCGAGAGAGAGAGAGGATTGCTAAAAAGAAAAAAGAAAAAAAAAAATCGAGAAGAGCTACGTAGAAATTTATAATATTTGCGAATATGAATAATTTCAATTATTTCATTATTTACACAGTTACAATTTCTTCAAGTGAACAGGTTTCGAGTTTCAGATTTGGTTCAGTTTTAGGCTCAAGTTTTTCTACTAGTAATAAGTTTCATAATTATAATTTTTTTTTCTAATAATAATAGTATATTCATATAAATTCAGAACAATTTACATTTAACATGTAATTCATAACTTTGTGCGTTTTTATGGAAAATGTATAAAAAAACGTGGAAGATATCGGATAACGTTTTCGCGAGCCTGTGCCAGGAAGAACGGAGGCAAGGTGAGCGGGAAAAATCACTAGATCCGATCGGCGCGATACGTGGAGAACCATGACCCGCGTAACGAACACGGTGTCATGGTTATAAACACCGTGGACAGAGAACGAGGCGAAGGTGGTAGGTTACCACCGCGGGCCACGTCAACGATTTCACTTGCAATATTGACCCTACGCACGCTAACCATTAACATCACGGAAGAAACTGGCCGTGTTACGCGGGAAAAGCTAAAGGTTAACAATTTCTCCGCGCCGCCTGATACACCCAACCACCCTCTTGATTATTTTCTCCCTCCTCTGTTGTGCCAATTTCGAAGGAGAAACGACGATTGAAAAATTGGAGAAGCAAAGTGAAAGTTCAAACGTGCACTCCAGCGAGTAGTTTTCTAAAGTCTAGGGACTTTCAGACGGCATACTGCAGGCGGACATGGACATTTTAGGTTAGACTGTGACTTGAAATGTCTAGCAGGAGAATTATTGTTATCTAGAAACTTTGAAATGTAGATTCTTGAAATAGATTTTAAAAGGTTATTTTGTGTTAAGACTGCGAGTTGCAGAAGAAGGAAATACGAATGTTTGTCATCTAGTAACATTTAGGTTGTTGCTTAACGAACCTGCTAGGGTCAAAAGTATATTGAACAATTCCGAGATTATCGTCCGCGGTGATTCCCAACGTTCTCGGAGGATTGAATATTCCTTCGACGAATTGAATTCTGGCGATTTCCTCCTAATTTATATAAAGTTATCGCAAGTTGCTGAAGAACGATTTCCAATAAACGTGAATTACCACGTTCCAAATTCTAGCCTCACTACGCTACGCTTCTCCGCTTTATCAGAGAGTTATGAATTCGTAGCTATTTTAATCAAGGCTCTAGTTGCAATCCCGTGCGATTTAAATTAAATTTTCAAAAATTTCAATCTCGAGTCCGATACAGAAAATGACGCGTCAAAATCATTCGCCATTTTTTGTAAAATTCTTTTTTAATTCGAAGAAAAATCTATCGATATCGTCGATAACGTTTCTAATTGAACAAAAATTCCCTAGGGTCGTTATCGAACGAAATCAAGCATGCACGGTACAAAAGCCGTCCGGATCGACGATTTAACCCGAGTTACTTCCATTACGTTAAACTTCGCCTCGAAGGCCCGATCGAATCTACATTTTTCAGCACTCGCCGTCTCCTAGGCG